CTGCCTCAACATTCATGGGCTGGCAGCCCCCATGCTTGGTGCCCCCTCACGGGGCCTCAGTGGTAGGCAGAGGTTGGGTGGTTGGGCTGGTCTTGCACTGCCCGTGGGGGCACCCAGCACCTGCCTCAGTGCCCTCTCCTCCCGCAGGGGAGATGGAGAGGCACCTGCTGCTCCTCGCCGAACTCCTGCCGGACTGGCTCAGCCTCCACCGCATCCGCACCGACACCTATGTCAAGCTGGACAAGGCCACGGACCTGGCCGGCATCACTGCACGCCTAGTCCGCCAGGCCCGTGCCGAGGAGGGGCTGTGAGCCCCGTGGCCACTGTGGACAGACACGGGCTTCAGGCTCGCTGGCCTGGGCCCACCATAATTGTCCTTCGCTCTTTCTTTCCTGAGTGCTCAGGGCTCCCCTAGCTGTGGGTGGCGGCCACTCATAGGGGTCATGTTGTGTATTCACATTAAACCAGTTTCTGTGAGCGCCTCTGTCCTTGCTTCTACTGGGGAAGAGAAGCCAGATCTCAGCACCCCACTGCGGGGTGACCAGGGCTCTGGCTATATGGGGCTGGGGAGTGTGGCAAGAAGCCAAACTCTCTAATACCCTCTAATCCTGGGATCTCCCACAGCAAAGGGTGGCTTTTGTCATTAGGAATTTTGGGAAGTGATCCTGAATCATCCAGCTGGGCCCCATGTCATCACGGGAGTCCTTATTGAGAGGGCCAGAGCCAGCCAGCTTGGACAATATAGCCCTGCCCTGACACTGGCCGCCTGGAGAAGCTGGGCAGGGTGAGTAGGACGTCCCTGGAGCCCCAGGAGGGGACTGGCCTGCCCACACCTTGACCCCAGTCCTCCAGAACCCTCATCAGTTGTGCTGACAGCCAGCCACTAGGTGTGCGGAAGCTGATGACCACCGCCGCGGTACCATCAGCTGCCTCGTGGCTGGCACCTGCATTCAGACTTAGTTACCTGCAGCCCTGGCTTGCTCCCTGTGTGGCCGCCTCCTGAGTGCCTGGAGGGCTCCAGCTCCTGAGGTGAGAACCACAAACAGACTGTCTCTGCCGGGTACCACGCCAAGCAGCATGTGCCCATCTCAGTACAGCTGTCAGCCTGTTTCACACCAAAGGCCGGAGCCTAGCATCGTCCGGGGGCTCCTGCCCCGGGCAACAGGACAACAGGAGCCGGCTTGTGTGGCAAAACTGTTTACTTGTGTTCTTCCTGTGTGTGTAACTGGGCCCAGGGTGGTTGATCTTTGCCCCAGGCTTTGGCACTGCCAGCCCCAGGAGAGGCGCTGAACCAGAGCTAAGGAATGTGTTCCCATGGGCACCCGGGGTCCCTGGTGACTGCAGGTCATCTCCATAGCCCAAGGCTGAAGCATGGCTGGGCTCTGGCTGGAGAGGCTGGGCTGGGAGGCCCCGAGGTCACTCGTATTGCAGGAGGGAAAAGAAGGGGATGGGTGCCAGCTTCTCCCTGCCTTTGAGCGAGGTCAGCTCCACCAGGCTCACGCACTCCAGGACCTCGGCCTGCAGGCGGCCCAGCAGCTCACAGGCAGCGTGCATGGTTCCTAGGGGTGGGAGGGGGAGGTCCTCAGTTGGCCTGGGCTGCAGAGACCCAGTGCTCCAGGCCAGCCCTTGGGTGGGGGAGGAGAGGGTGCAGGGAGAGAGGAAGTTGCCGGCCTGGCCACCAGTAAGCTGCACCCATGTGACATGCAGCACGGTCCTGTCCCACTCCCACCGGACCCTGAGAGCCGCCGCAGTCAGCCTTGGGAGATGCTCACCGCCAGTGGCCAGCAGATCGTCCACGATGACCACCCTCTGTCCTGCCTCCAAGGCGTCTTTCTGGATTTCCAGCTCAGCCTGGGTGGGAAGTGGCATGTGGGCCTCAGCCTCCCCCAGAAAACAGCTTTGTGTGCAGATCTCGGCAGCTGCCACCCTGGGCCCTGGCTCCAACCCCACCTTGCTGTTTCCTGGCTGTGTGAGCCTAGCCCTGTCTCAACCTGAGCCCCAAGGCTACTGCAACCACAGGGGCTCCACCTGACACTCCTGGGAGGGCCTTCTGGACTCGGCGGAGAATGGGCACAGTGGCCTGGCCCTGACCTTCCTCTGGCCACCCCTGCCGCCTTACCTTTCCGTATTCCAGCGTATAGGAGGCCCACACAGTAGGGCCTGGCAGCTTCCCTCGCTTTCGGATGAGCACACAGCCCAGGTCAAGCTCCTGGGCCAGGGAGGGGCCAAACAGGAAGCCTCGGGAATCTAGGCCTGTCAGGGTGAAAGCGGGGAGTGACTTGGCAGCATGGGAGTCCCCAGGGGCATCTGGCCTTGTTGCTCCAGGTGAAAGGCCCATCACGTGCCCCATGTAAGGAGTTACCCATCACCTACCCGGAGCTGCTTTGAGATCAGAGTGCAGACCTGGGACCAGCTTTTAAAGAGCCCCTTTTTAGCTGTGAGGTCCCAGGGAAGTCACCTCCCCTCTCTCAGCTCAGCAGCCCATCTGTAACTGGGCTGGTGGAAACCAGCCAGGCCTCACCTCTGCCCCAGTGCTTCTATCTAAAAGGGAGTCTGTAAAGGTGGCCTGAGCTGTGATGCTCCGGGGCGCTCAGGGAAACGGTGCCGTGGCCTGGCAGGTGAGGAGGGGGCTCTCACGTCCCAGAAGAGACAAGAGCGACAGGAACACTCCGTTCTCCCTGGGCCACCTCTCGGACTCTCCCGGAGGCCTCCAGGCCTCCCTTCCCTGGGCGGGCATTCTGTGATCTTCGCCTCCGAAGGCCCGACACGTAGCAGACGCTCAATACCAGCTCGCAGAAAGAACAAGAGCCTGGCGGCCGGGCTCCGTGGATTACGCCCGGAAACCCCAGGGAGACCAACTGACCCTGCGTCTCAATCACGCGTGTCCTGGGCTGGAGACCCCGAAGCTGTGGGCAGGGCGCCAACCTCACAACCCTTCGGGGTCGACCCCAAGCACGGTGCCCGTCCCGGCGCCCCCTGAAGGACCCCAAAAGCCCTCCCCCAAGCAGATGTGCAGAGCCCACGTGCTGCCCTTAGTGCGCGCGGAGGCGGAGGCTCCCTGAACGCGGCCACGGGGCACTCGCCTGCGATGTAGTCGATGCGGCCCCCGTGGGTCGCCTTCAGGTGTCGCGCCAGGAGGCCGATGGCGGCGCGGAAGGAGGCGGGGTCCTTCAGGAGGGGCGAGATGTCCCTGGACCCAAGGACAGGCCTGGTGACGCCCGGGCCGGCGGAGAGCAGCGGCCCCCGGGGCGGAGGACGAGGGTTCCCGCCCCGCGAGCCCCACCCGCCCCACCCGCCCCGCTAGTCCGGAAGTCCAGGGGGCGCGGGCGACGCGCGTCCATCCGCAGGCCCGCGGGGCGGGGCGCCACGAGGGCGGCGTGCGGTCGCACCTGAACACCACGCCCGGGGTGGGGAAGTCGGGGAAGCTGCGGATCCGCTGCGCCACCAGCTGCAGCTGGGGGTCCGCCATGCCCGCGTGCTCCGCGCCAGCAGGGAAAGGAGCGCGCGTGCGCTGGGACGGGCGGGGCTCGTGCGAGGGGCGGAGCCTCACGGAGGGCGGGGCGAGGGCGGGGCTCCCGCGGGGAGGGGAGTCCCTCACAGGAACCACGTACCGTATTTCATGGAATCCTAGGCGCCGTCGATTTTAAGACGCGCTTGCAATCCAAGCACCACTGAGCAGAACGTTCGAACCGGACAGAGGTGCGAGTCTCAGTCTCGGGCGGCGCCTCTGACTGCAGCTAGGCAGCTGTGGGCCGGGGCCCTGGCAGCTCGAGATGGGCGTGAGCTGGCCTCGCCAACGCACCTGGCGCGCGCACGGGCCACGCCCCTTCTGCGCTATTGCCCGAGATCTCCACGCTGCACGCGGAGGCTGGCGTGCGGGGTGGATGAGGCGTGAGGAAGGGGTCCAAGGAGCAGCGGGGCGGTGCAGGGCCGGGAGGGAGCAGCCAGGGCGGAAACGCTGGGCCGGGGCTGGACCGGCCCAGGGTGCTGGCCTCTCGCGGATGGGCCCTGCGGTTGGAGGCGGCTCTTTCCCTCCCGGACCGGGGGAGAAAGGCCGGAAGGCGTGGTTAAGCCAGGGGATCAATCCGCGAGGGTAGAGGCCCCTCTGTCCGCCGGCAGAGGCCAGGTGCCCTACCAGCCTTGGGATGGGGACCTGTGAATCCCGCAGGCCGCCCGCCGGAGGAAGACTGCACCCAGGGGGTTGCGTGAGGCACAACTCCCCAGAACACAATTTCCTTTCAAAGAAAAATCCCCACAGCTAAAATGCCTTGTGCTCTAAGGCTGTTTTCTTCATTTTGCAACTTTTCATTTATCAACTTTGACAGTTCAGCTTTGGCCTGGCAGTTACAGTAGAGGAGAAACCCCACTCAATGGAAGGCAGTCCCCAGGAGCCTTCGGAGGGGGAGGTGGGAGACTGCTGTGGCTGCTGGGGCCCCCTTTCCAGGGAGGGTGGGGGACCCTTCCTCTGGTGCCGAGGGGCGTGGCAGGGGCAGCTGCCTCCTCTCAGTGTGCTGTGGTCAGGGCTGGCAAGGCCAGGGGCCTGGACTCCAGACCCCTAAGGAAGGTGGAAATGGAGGAGCCTGACATCCTCACGTCCCCGTGGAAATTGCCACATGCGGCAGCGCCATTGGGCCAAGTGGGTGAGCTACACCTGAGCCTTCCACATCCAGCCCAGGAGGCCTCAGCCTTCCCCCTCCTTGCTCATGATCCTGTCTCCAGATGGCCCGAAGGGGGCCGGGGGTGTGGGGCGTGAGGGTTCCTGGAAGAGGGGACTGGCGACGGTTCAATACAGAATTGGGCCTGTCGCCTTCAGCCCTGGGTTCTTGGGCTGGTGTGGGAGCCGTGGATGATGCCCTCCGGCTGGGCATGCAGTGCTGGGTTTTGGAGAAGGCCGGGCCGGGAGGCAGCAGGAGCTGGGTGCATGATCCTTGGCAGCCGCTGGGAAGGTGTGAAAGGAAAGTAAATCTCAGGACCCCAAAATCACTAAGCCAAAAAAAAAGTCAAGCTGGAAATTAGGTCCGGCAAACCTGCCTGCATTTTATTTCTAAATAAGACAGCTACAATGATAAGAAACTTCACGCCTCCTCAATTAGCACCCAAGGAAATTCCTTGTGGACAAAGGACAGACGAACTCGAAGTCACCCCTCTGGGGGCTCCCCTGAGACAAATGCTTACCTGATTCCTTCCCCTACCCCATAGTTTATGTAAAAATTCGGATTCACTAAGCCAGACTCCATTGTGTATTCAGTGGAAGGCTGACCGAACCAATGGACATCTTGTACATACTGATCTTACGTCTTCCTAAAATGTATAAAGGCAAACTGTACCCCCCAGCCACCTTCAGGCACATGTCGTCAGGACTTCCTGAGGATGTGTGACAGGCACATGTTCTCAACCTTGGCAAAACAAACTTTCTAAATTGACTTGAGACCCGTTTCAGGTATTTGGGGTTCACAGAGGCATGAGACGGCAGGGTCCTGAGATTGGAGGGGCTGTGGCGAGGAGGCGGCCGAGTACACCCCAGGGCCAGGTCCCGGGCAGGTGGAGCTGTGCAGGCACCATCCATCTCGCTTGGGCAGGGTTGGGGAAGCACTGAGGCCAGAACTGTCCTCCCTCCAGGCACGTGCAGGCCCAACCGGAGATCCCAGGCCTGGCCTGGGTCCACACAAGCTAGTGGGACCAGAGGCACTTCTTGGGAATGGATTCTGGAGGCGTCAGACACTTCCCTAACTTCTCACAGCCTGGGGGTGCCCAGTTCTGGGAAACGAAAATGGAGAAAAAAAAAACATGCAATTATTCCAAGCTCCTGTGGACTCAATAGCAGCCCAGCATTTTTTTTTTTTTTTTTAATTCTGTTTTGAGACAGAGTCGCCCTCTGTCACTCAGCGTTGAGTTGTGGCGAAATCTCAGCTCACTGCAACCTGTCTTCTGGGTTCACGCGATTCTCCTGCCTCAGTCTCCTGAGTAGCTGGGGTTACAGATGCCCACAAAGGTTTAGTAGAGACAGGGTTTCACCATGTTGGCCAGGCTGGTCTCGAACTCCTGACTTAAGGTGATCCACCTGCCTTGGCCTCCCAAAGTGCTGGGATGACAGCCATGAGCCACCACACCTGGCCATTTTTTTTGTTGTTTTTTTTTTTTTTTTTTTTTTTTTTTAATTGAGACTCATTCTGTTGCCAGGCGGGGGAGTGCAGTGGTGCGATCTCAGCTCACCACAACCTCTGCCTCCCGGGTTCAAGTGATTCTCCTGCCTTAGCCTCCTGGGTAGCTGGGATTACAGGTGCGCTCTACCACACCTGGCTAATATTTTTTTTTTTGTATTTTTAGTAGAGAAGGGGTTTTACCATGTTGGTCAGGCTGGTCTCTACACAGATGTCTCTTCAGGAATCATGGGAACTCAGGAGATGGCACCCTCCTGACTTGGCCTCTCAGCTCTGAAGAGAACTTATCGGGGAGGTCTGAGGGGTGGGGGTTGCAACTGCCAAGTAACTGAGGGCCTCAGCGTAGCCAGTGGCGTTAGAACGGGCAAGGGGTCCTCCCAGGAGGAGACTCTCAGCAGCCTTTCCCAGGGAGGAGCTGGTCCCTGCTGAGCTGCTGGGCTGGGTTCAGAGCAGCGCTGGGCACAGCGGACCCCTCCATTGCCTGGTGCATGTGGAACTCACAGCGCGGCCATGCTTAGTCGGAGGCTCCCTTGGTAACAGAAAGGGAAACTTACGCTCCTAGAAAAGAGGCTGGAAAGGGAGACTTATGCCCCTAAGAGGAGGTTTCCTGGCTGAAATGAGTGCAGCCTGGTTCTGTGTCCCTGTCCAGGACACCTACATGCCACATCAGATGCAGTGTACCCAAGGGCACTTTCTCCGGAGACTTTGCATTCTGGGTGCTGCACAATCAGACACAGTGCTATGGACACTCTCTGGCCCTGGGCAGCAGCGGGAAGTACCACGTTGAGTGTCCCTGCCCCTCTGGCCACTGGAGCAGAACTGGGTTTGGATGAGGAAGCTGCTCCCCAACTCCAGGAGCTGTAGAGGCAGCCACAGGGTGTGTGCGAATCTGGATCGGGGGGCTTGGGGGATGTCTGCATTTCTCAAAGGCTGCTCAGCTGTCCCAGGTGGCCGGAATCATCCTCTGCACAAGAGATGCCACTGAGCCTCTTGCCTGAGGCTGGCCTGGAGTTGGAGGACAGAGGGCAGGGAGGGGTAAGGAGCACGAGTGGCCCTGGGCTTCACACGCGTGCGAGTCTGTGCGGCTCCCTGTGGCTGTGCTCGTGGTGGGGTCTTGGTCCCTCAGACCCCTGTGGCTCAGCTCGACAGGTCTCAGTTGGCACCACATTTCCCCCTGCAGAGGGCAGAGGTGCGGCGATGGCGGCAGTTCCCCCAATGTCCAGGAGATGGCAGCAGCAGCTGGGCCGTGTGCCGCGGGCCCCCCAGCCCTGTGCCCATTGTCTCTGTGACTAGTGTGGCCTGAGCCCGTGGAGCCACTGAAGCCTGGGTTGGGAACAGGACCCAGCAGCACAGACTGGGATCGGGTGTGGAGGGCAGAAGGCCAGGGCTCCTCCACAGTTGGTGGCCCCAGGCTCCTGGGGCCCGAGACTCGGTGGTCCAGAGACAGGAATGTCCCGGCTCCACCGCTGAGTCCAGGGGTGGGGACGCCAGCTGCCCAGGTCCCTTTGAAGGAAGGTCCTTAAATGTCTTCCTATGGCGAAACTTGCCAGGCACCACCTGCCCTGCCCAGTCCTGAATGACCCTGCAGGGTGGACCGTTCTGGCCAAGGACAAGGCCATTTTCCCTCCGTGGTCCTCACTGCTGGGAGGCGCTCTTGATGCCTGGCGCTCTCCTCTGTGTTCACCCGAGGCCCGCACTGTGGCTCCCTACTGTTCAGAGCCTCCACCTCCCTTCCCATGGCCTGGCGGTCACCTGGTGGCTGCCATGCTGTAGTCGGGTCTGGCCCTGGAACGGGGCATCAGCGGGGTCTTTTCCCCATGCAGCAGGAGCCCAGGCTGAACTGCTGGGGGGTTCCCTTCCCGATGTCCTATGCTTTCCTTCGGCGGATCCAGGGGCTGTGGGCAGCCAGCCCCAGCCCCTGTGGAGCAAGGGAGCCCGGGCCCGGGGGGCTGGAGGCTGGAGGCTGGGCCGGCTGTCTCCACTGTGCCTGGGCTCTGGGCACCCAGGAGTGATACCACAGACCTGCGTGTTGCGTCCTTGTTGACTGAAGAGAGGGCTGCATGTATCCTGTGTGAAGGACCGTCGGGCCTGTGTCTGCTGGGCCCCTCCTTCGCTGAGTTGGGAAACAGGCCTTGGCAGCCACCCACACCCCGCCCCACGGGGCCCCCAAGCAGGAGGCAGAAAAGTGGGTCCCAAGAGGCCCTGACGGTGGCGCCCCCAGGGTTGGACAAGGAGATGCTGCTTTTGTGGCGTGAATACGATTTCTGCTAAACGATGGGGGCACATCTGTGCTCCTATTTCCAGCCGAGGCTGGGGTGATGAGGCCATTTTTCTCCTGCAGGCGAACATGGCCTGATCCTGTCAGGCTGTAGGGAGGGGCTGCTCTGTCGCCTGTGAGTGGCATCAGGTCTGATGAAAGATCCCTGAGGCTAGCCCAGCATGGCGGGGGCGGGGGCGGCATGGGGGAGGCCCAGCATGGGGTGAGCCCAGGGGCCGCCACCACTCACAGAGCAGCACCCGCACCACTGGGAGCCCACCGGGCAGCGCTGTTCCTGCCTCGGTGCCTGCAGAGCCTGAGGCTTGGGCACCATCTAGGGCCCCAGCAGGGAGAAGGTGCCCATGCCCATGTGGGAGTCCAGGACCAGGGGGCCCCGGTCCCTCCCGTGCACCCTGCTAACCCTCCGTGACCACTTGCAGGGGTGCAGGAGATGGGCCTGGGAGCTGCCCAGTCTCAGCTCAGCTGGGCAGAAGCCCTGGGACCTGTGGTAGCTCTGGTGCAGTGTGACACTGGTCCCCAAGTTGCTCGGCTCCAGCACCCTGAATCCTGGACACTGCCGCGTGTGCACTGAGACATCAGGGTCCTGGTACTGGATGGAGGCGGCGAACCGCCCCCGCCTCCCCTGCGCCCACCTCCCCCACCCCAGCCTCCCCTCTACCTCCCTGTGCTGGCCACGGTTCATCTGGGGCTCTGGGTGGGTGGGTGGTTGCAGCCTGGCACATGGCGGCCGCCCATACACCAGCCACTTACCATGACTGCCCAGTTGCACACGTTGAGCTGGGGCTGTCCAGGGACCAAGGCCTCCTGGTGCTGGTGGACGACCTGGGTGATCCTGCTGAGGGCCTCCTGGTACTCGGTGCTGGCAAAGCTAGGGACAGAGAGCTCCGGTCACACGGCTGTGGCTGCAGGGGCACGCCTGGGGCTGATGGCGAAGGATGGGGAGGGCCTGGCCTGGAAAGGCTGAGGCTGCAGGGGTCTAAGAGGCCAAGCACTGCAGTGGCAGTTACTGTGACCCTTGGGCCTCGCCAGGCTGAGCACTGCAGTGGCACAGTCCCCGTGGATCCCCGGGCTTATTAGGACAGGCAGCAGGCACCTGAGCTGTCCTCTGCCCCCAGACTCATGGGCAAGGTGGAAAATGAAGGCTCGGGAGGCCAAGCCCTGGTAGAGAGGCTGTGAGCACAGCTGTCCTGACCTGTCCCCATCAGGTGACCTGCCTGTGACCAGGACCTGGGGCGTGTCAGCTGGGGACTGTGTGGGTCTTCCCCTATTTCGTTACAGAAGCACCGTCATCCCATTGCGAAATGGGAAATGGAGGGGAACCGAATCTGTGGCTGTAAAGTTCCGATGCAGGCATGCGGAGCATTTGGATTCCTTTCCTTTTCACAAAGAAACGATTAAACAGCTGCACGAGGTGCCGTGGGGGCCACGGGGCCACATGCTGTGGGTCTAGGGTCCATGGTGTTGCCATGCATTGCCCTGAGGGTAGCTGCAGAATTGATGTTTCTCCCCATTTCCAATCACTTCAAGTATCACCCACACCCACGTGAACAGACACCTGCCATCACGGTCATCAGGGAGGTGCGGGAAGAACCGCCTGTCACCCGCCAGGCCTGGCCAGGAGCCACACTGCTGCTGACGGGGATGTGGACCGGAACGGCCACTCTGCAAGGTGGTGTGGGAGCTCCTGACAAGGCTAGAGATGGGGCTGCCAGGTGAGCCAGCTGCCCTCCCGATGGCAGCACCCACCCAGGCCCAGCACCTCCTGGGAGGAGCCCTCGGACCCACTTGAGCCCAGTCCCTCTGCCCTGGACACTCACCAGGCTGTGAGAACTGGCTTTTTGCTCCAGAACCTTCCCTAAAAATGAGGTTTTACACAGAAGCTGCACGCACAGAGATGGGAACGTGCCCCTCCACCCGGCTTCTCTCTGCTCCATCCACCTACTCCCTGTTAGGCCTCAGGCGTGAGGCTGCATCAGAGGACGGCCCCCAGGAGAGCCAGGTTCCTTCAGGGTTCCCTGCTTGGTGCGCCACAGAGCTGCCTGTCCTTGCACCAGCCGGGGCTTCACAGCACATCCCGGGGCTCAGCTCCCACCACCCCTCCTCCTGGCAGCCTGTCTGCACAATGCATTTTTAATCCAGGAGCTTCTCAGGTGTGTGTGTGTTTTTGCAGGATTCTGGGGCAAAATACTTCTGTTTGAGAGCTGGTGAGGACAGCTGCCCCACCTGCCCATCTTGACAGCGAGTGTCCCTGGAGGCCCCGGCCTGGCTTGTTGCTTTAATCTTCTTGTTTACTTCATTTATTTATTTATTTTTATTATTTATTTATTTATTTATTTATTTTGAGACGGAGTTTCGCTCTTGTTACCCAGGCTGAAGTGCAATGGCGCGATCTCGGCTTACCACAACCTCCGCCTCCTGGGTTCAGGCAATTCTCCTGCCTCAGCCTCCCGAGGAGCTGGGATTACAGGCACGTGCCACCATGCCCAGCTAATTTTTTGTATTTTTAGTAGAGACAGGGTTTCACCATGTTGACCAGGATGGTCTCGATCTCTTGACCTTGTGATCCGCCCGCCTCGGCCTCCCAAAGTGCTGGGATTACAGGCTTGAGCCACCGCGCCCGGCCTACTTCATTTATTTTTTAGAGACAGGATCTTGCTCTGTCACCCAGGCTCACTGTAGCCTCGACCTTCTGGGCTTAAGTGATCTTCCTGCCTCAGTCTCCTGAGTAGCTGGGACTGCAGATTGCCATGCCCCGCTAATTTTTATTTTCTGTTGAGATAAGGTCTTGCTATGTTGCCCAGGCTTGTCTCAAACTCCTGGACTCAAGTGATCCTCCTACCTCAGCCTCCCAAAGTTCTGGGATCACAGGTGTGAGCAACCATGCCTGGCCCTATCTTTTTTTTTTGGAGATGGAGTCTTGCTCTGTTGCCCAGACTGGAATGCAGTGGGTTCAAGCAATTCTCCTGCCTCAGCCTACTGAGTAGCTGAGATTACAGGTGCCCACCACCACATCCAATTAGTTTTTGTATTTTTAGTAGAGATGGGGTTTCACCATGTTGGCCAGGCCAGCCTGAAACTCCTGACCTTGCCGCAGCCTCCCAAAGTGCTGGGTTTACAGGTGTGAGCCACAGTGCCCGACCACCCATCTTCTTGTTTAGAGAGGCTCCCTGCAAACACACGTGTCTGTGTCTGAGAAGTAGCCCAGGGTGAATGAGGCTGTGTCGTGGGGGTCTGACCTTGGGGATGGTGGCTCTCAAAGGCCTGGCCAACAGCTGCCTCCTTGTGACCCCCTCAGGGAAGCTGTGAATGCTGCTTGGGATTTGCCTGAAAACTCTGCATTCTCCAGCTGTGAGGCCGGGCAGCATGGCTGTGCCGGACGGTGGGACTGTCTCTCTCCTCTGGCCTGGCTGGGAGCTCCAGCAACGCAGCAGGTAACACCCCTAAGGACCCTGCTGTGGATAGCAGTCATGCCCAGTGGATTCGGATGGGCACTGCCAGCACTGCCATCCAGGCTTTCATCTCGGGGGTCCCTGGGTGTGGTGGGCACAGGTGTGGCTGGCAGCTTCTTGTGTGTAACTGGGGCTGCGATCCGAGGGATTGTGGGCTCCTCAGTGACTCCTGCAGGCACAGGGGGATCACAGACTGCCCCTCCAGCTCCACAAGGCCCCAAGCTCCTGGCCCCCCATGGTTTGTGGTGATCACTGTCCCCCAGTGGGCCGGAGATGCCCCGGCTCTGTCTCTGTGAGTATCCCGGCACCCCCACAACAAATGAGCAGGACTGGGGGCTTCAAACAACAAAACTGCAGACACCGGCTCCTCACTGCCCCGGAGGCTAGAGCACGAAACCAGGGGTCTTGAGGCCATGCCCTCTGGAGGATCCGGGGCTCCTTCCTGCCTCTTCCAGCCCCGGCAGCCCCGCGTGAGCCCAGGCTGGTGGTGTTCTGACCAGTCCCCGCCTCATTCCCCCATGGCCTTAGCCTGTGACTGTTTCTCCTCCCTCTGGACTCAGGGCCACCTGCTCCAGGTTGACCAGTGCCTACCCGTGCCTTCATCACAAGGTAAAGACCCTGCTTCCCATCAGGCCAAGCTGGAGGTGTGGATGGGCCTGGGCCTGGGGACACTGCTCTGTCCACTCCGGGCTCCTTCTGCAGTCACTGTCCCAGGCTTCTGAGCTGGATGCTGGTAGAAGGGGAGGTGCTGATGAGGAAGTACCCAAGGGGTCTCTGAGGGCAGTGGGAGGGGCTCCGGCCCAGGAGCCTCAGAGCAGGCTCAGCCCCATGGGAAGGAGGCTGCCCCGTCCAGGGGGTGTGCAGGAGCCTCAGGGCCTTGGCGGGGGTGCTGCCACCCTCAGTCCTGTGCTGCTGTCTGCTGCCTCCTACCAGCCTTGCTCAAAAGAGCAGGGGGCAGTCTGCGTAGGAAGCACTGCTGTGCTCAGGTCTGGCTCTGTCCCCTACGGCGACCCAGACGCTCCTGGGTCCTCTGCCCCCACAAGGCAACCCCCGACGCTCCTGGGTCCTCTGCCCCCCATGGCGACCCCCGACGCTCCTGGGTCCTCTGCCCCCCACAGTGGCCCCTGACGCTCCTGGGTCTTCCCGGGACTATCTCCATGGGGCAGGAATGCTGGAGACCACTGGCACGCACATGCCCCAGGATGCCCAGGCCAGGAGCAGGAATTGGGTACCTGCTCATCCTGCAGGGTTGAGACGGAGAAGCCTCCAGGGAGCCCCAGCCCAGGGAGATGGCTTTGGACAAGATAGAAGGAAGCCAAGGTGGGGTCTCCAGCCAAGTGCTGGGGCCTCTGTGTCACCCCTAAGGAGCTGCCAGAGAGCATGTGGGTTTGGTATTGGCAACCGTGCCCCTCGAGACTCCCGAGGATGAGGGGAGGGCTTCCCTGAAAGCTGGCAGGCGACGGCCCAGGCTCCAGCATCCTTGGTAGGGCGAGTACAAAGCCCAGACAGCACAGGGTGGAGCTGGGGCTGGCAGTTTTCTGCCATTCCTCCTGCCCGCTGGCCCCAGGGCTGGCCGGCCTCCTGGGCACGCCTCAGGCTTGGACCCCTCCCCTCTGGCCTGCGCCATCCCCGGAGGCAGCTGAAAGTAGGGGACATGCTGCTGGGGGCCAGATAGACGGTGGCTCAGAACAGGCAGAAGCGGGGAAACTGCCAGGGAGGGCAGGAACGGGCGCTCCAGAGAGGAGGGCAGATCACTCACTGTGGGTGGGAGGAACGCAGCAGGAGGGGGCGCAGGCACAGGAAGCGATGGGCAGGGTGCAGGGGGCTCCGTCCCTGTGGAGCCTGCGTTTGGGGGAGTCCGGCTGGCACTGTCCCAACATCTCGGAAACCCTGCACCAACTCACCTGAGGGGGAACCTCTCCCCGGGGTCTCGTCCCAGGTGGAAGATCAGGGGCAGCTTCGTGTGGTCTTCCAGGGTATGAGTCGTGACCCCCGAAACATTCTGCCCAGGGCAGAAATCCATGCCCTGCAATGAGAAGAGGAGGGAAGGTGGGTCCTGGAGCTCCTGACCCTTGAACCCTGACCCATGGCCATGACGGGCATCAACTGCCTATGTCCTGGATCCCCTAACTGGGGGCCACAGAGGGGCCCTTGTCTGCCAGTGCCTAGCAGTGACCCTGGTACTCAGCACAGTACGGGGCACTGGCTAAAGGCTGAAGGATGAGTGGGTCTGTGCGTGGCCACAATCACTACAGTGTCCTGTGAAGGAGGTGAAGCCACCCGCTCTGGGCCCCTGAGCTGCATAGCTGGCATGCCTCATGTGCCCCTGGTTTTCATGTACCCATCTTCTTTGTGGGGCAGGTGAGTGTCTTTAAAAGACCTTAACCAGCCTCACATCTGGACTGCCACTAGTTTCACGGAGGAAAGCGTCTTTTAATGTCAGAAAGGGAGGGGAATGCTGGGGAGGGGTGGGGAGGGGACGGGAGGGTCGGGTCAGGTCCGCACTGGGAGAAGGAAGAGCCAGCTGGGGGCTGGTCTGATGGTTGGGTGGGCTGTGGGCTGACTGGACGGCTGGGGTGGGCCGGGGGCTGGTCTGATGGCTGGGGTGGGCTGTGGGCTGACTGGACGGCTAGGGTGGGCCGGGGGCTGGCTGCCAGCAGTTGGGTCTCCAGGTGGGAGGGGGTCCTGGAGGAAGCAGAGCATTGCAGGGATCAAGGTCTGAGCCTGAGATGGGCAGAGAAGGAGCCTGGGGTGCCATGAGAAGAGGGCCCACAGTGTCTGCTGAATGCAGCAGCAATAGTGACCTGTGAGGGCTGGTGTGCAGCCTGACCTTCCTGCCACCTAAACAGGCAGGCACTGGCCAGGCTCCAACTCAAAGGCCACTCTGCTGGGAGGAGCAACTCGACCCGCCCAGCCTGGCCCCAGGACTAACACCCCATCCATGGCTGTGGTCCTCCTCACAGCACCTTTCCCTCCTCCACTGACAGGCCAGAAGGGAAGGTGCTGAGGACCCCGCTGGCAGAGGGCTGGGGGTGCGGGGTCTATATGGCATCAGCCAGCAGAAGGATCCTAGGAGCAGTGGCCTGTGGTCAGGTCACACTGAAGACTCTCCAGGCCCAGCTGGTTCTCAGGCTTAGCCTTCAGAATGGACATCACCAAGGTCCCTTCGGGTGACTTGGGACCAGGGAATGACAGATCAGCACACAGCCCTGAGCTGTGACAACACCAGCCTGAGCTGTCAGAGCAGGGGCTGGCCCAGGATGCAGAGTGTGGCCTTGCAGGGCAGCCACCTGGCCTCTGAGCAGACACCCCTGGTACGTGGGCCACCCAGGAGGGATCCCACTGGCCCTGGGTGGGCAGCTCCTGGGTGGCCATGTCATTGTCTATGATGCTTGAGCTGGCTGGGCCTCACTGGCCCCTGGGAGGGAGAACGGTGGAGGGGCCAGCATTTGGAAGAAAAGCATTAGTGTCACATAGGAGGTGGCAGCAGTGGCAGGGAACCCGAGGACCCGGGGCCTCCACAGGGAAAACCTGCAGCCCACACAGTGACCGGGCCTGGGCCTGGAGTTCCCCAGGTGAACCCAGGGTGCCTGGCTCTTCGCCTCCTGGTTGTGTGTGGACCAGGGACCTGCTGCCAGAACCCCGGTGCCGCCCCCATCACGCGGGCCCTGGGCAGACTTGCTGTGTGGGCCGCAGTGCAGTGGCACAGGCCAGCGGCTCTCACTTTTGCCCACGAGGCTGATGTGGACTGAGGCCCGGCTCCAGGATGGTCTTCCTGCATCTGACAGCAGCAAGCAACTAACTCGGAACTATTCGACCCAAAGGATGGAGGGGTGAGAACACCAGGGCCCCCGAGGGCTTCCTGCTGGGCCCGCCCCTCCCTGGGGAGCAAATCCACGAGAGCCCTCTGCCAGCTCTGGGGAGCCAGGTCTCGAGATCAGTATCACCAGGTGACAGAACTGTCATGAACAGCTGGCACGTGCTCGCAGGCAGAGATGCAGGCTCAGCCCAGCGACAGTGCCAAGGCCCAGCACGGCACTGCCCAGGAAGACGGGGGCATTGGGCGTGGAGCTGGTAGACACTTCTCGTGTCTCCACAAAGCCCCGAGAGAACTGGAGAGGCCCTCCGCCGCAACCCCACACCAAGGGTGTTTGTCCATCATGGGCTCCCGTCTGACCCACTCAGCCACGTGACAGGAACCGTGAGGCTGCCCAGCCACCAGAGACCAAAGGTCAGTGCCTCAAAGAGGACCCTGGAGCCCACAAGATGGGCACATCTATGGGGCTCTGGCCACGGGCTGGGCTGCCAAGCCACACCTTGTGGGGTTGTGGAGCAGGACAGGGACAAAAGGGTCACATGCTCAACACCCACACAGGAAAGCAGTTTTTTCCTGGCACTGGCCATGAGAGACAAAAACATCACAGGGGCCCACTTTTATCTGCTCTTAGGCTGGAAAAGGTAAATTCTGATTTTTCTTTTTATGCCCAAATTATGTGTCTAGGCCCAGAGGGGCGGCTCACACCTGTGATCCCAGCACTTTGGGAGGCCAAGGTGGGTGGATCACCTGAGGTCAGGAGTTCGAGACCAACCTGGCCAACATGGTGAAACCCCGTCTCTACTAAAAATCCAAAAATTAGCTGGGCGTGGTAGCAGACACCTGTAATCCCAGCTGCTCAGGAGGCTGAGGCAGGAGAATCGCTTGAACCCTGGAGCTGGAGGCTGTAGTGAGCCGAGATCGTACCACTGCACTCTAGCCTGGGAAACAGAGCAAGACTCAGTCTTAAGAAAAATTTTATGTTTAAATTATGTGTTTAGTTGGATATACTTAAAATATCATAAAAATGCAAAGAAAGAAAACCCCAGATTCCCTTCCTGCATTCAGCTGGGGCCCCCTTGGGCCCTCCTTGCAGACAGGCAGCTGCAGCCACACCAGTCCCCTCCCTCTGGGCAGCTCAGTTTTCGTTTTGTTTTTTTGTGAGATGGAGTCTTGCTCTGTCTCCCAAGCTGGAATGCAGTGATGTGAACTTGGCTCACTGCAGCCTCCGCCTCCCGGGTTCAAATGATTCTCCTGCCTCAGCCTCGAGAGCAGCTGGGACTACAGGCGCCTGCCACCACGCCCAGCTAATTTTTGTATTTTTACAAAAAGCAGAGAAACAGCTCCACTTCTCAGCCTGGGTCCTCAGTTCTCAGCCCCAGTCCTCACTTCTAGTCTTTAGATTTTTCCATTAAACTAAATGATTTTCTTCCCATTTAAGGCAGGTGAGCAGGGTATTCATATGTCAAGACTATGGTAGCGGAACTGGTGGGGCTGAGAGAAACCCCTCAGGAGGCAGTGGGGGATGCTGGAGCGTGGGGATTCGCTGGAGCCAGAGAAGACCCCAGGGAGGAAGCAGGAGGCTTAAGGTGGAGGCTCTCGGGGAAAAAGGCCAGCGCCGACACTGCTGGGGGCCGGGGTGGCAGGAGCCTGTACCTACTGTATTTCCCCTCCCATGCTAGGGGCCGGTGTGGAGACGCAGGTGCTGAGACCCTCATGCAGCACCTGGGCCAAGCAGGCCATGCCCGTTAGAGAAAGCTGAGGAGTCCTGGCAGGGTGGAGAGGCTGGCGGGGGCCACCTGACCACGGTCTGGAGCTATGCCTCGGGGTCCCTCCCTCGACTCCAGCCTGTCACCTGCCAGGCCCTGGGCCACGCAGAGGCGGCTGTGGAAGGTGGAGTCCTGCCTGTCTCACCCTCCTGCACCTCCCCAGGATGGCACTCAGAGGCCATGTATGGACAGGGATGGAAGCAGCTCCACCCGCGCCCACAGCCAGAGCCCCGTACCTGCCTGAAGTTCTCCCAGGAGTTGGTCCAGGTCCAGAAGTGAGCCTTGTGCTGCCCGAGGGTGGCTGCCATCAGCGTGTCACCACGGTAGTAGAAGACAGGCCTGTAGGATGGGAGAGGAGAACCATGTAACAGCAGGAAGGACATGCTGGGTCACCTGGGGCTCCGGGCTGCGTCCATCATCAGCTGCCTTGATTGATATTTTACAAAGATGATCAAAAAGTGAAAAGGCCCATGAGGTGGCTGAAGCTTGGGTCCCTGGTGAGGCCAGGCCAGCCCTGGTGGGGGCGGGGGATAGGCAAGAGCAAAGCCGGTGGCACGGGGTCCCCATCTCCGAGACCATGACGGGCCTGCAGGACAGGAATAGGCAGTAAGGGACGCAGCTGGGCACTGTCTTTTCTGCAGTGAACAAGTGCTACGGCCGGGTCTCAAGAGGGGACAAGTGAGAAAAATCCCGTCTCCTCCCCCAAAAGCCAGAGGCGGCATGCTGCCCTTGCTGCTGTCCCCTTCTGTTTACTGTTGAGCCTTTAGAATCCTCATCCCTTCAGGGCCACCCAGGAAACGTGCTTTGAGCAGAATGGTGGCTGCTCTCGGGATAGGAAATGGACAGAAGGTAAGAGCAGGACCAGCCAGCCATGGACTCAGCAGAGGGAAGCTACAGGCAGCCATGAGACACTGAAAACCCAGCAGGGAACAAAGTTGGGGTAGGCAGGGGTGGGTGTGTAGCTGGGGTGCAGGTAGGGATGAGACCCCTCTCCCAGCCCTGCCCCTCCCACCCCCACCCCTTCTCCTGGCCTCACCCCCACTCCAGACCTCGCCCCCATCTCCTTGCTTTGTCCTCCTCTCCTGGCCTCGCCCTCCTGAGGCTTTCCTGAGAACCAGGGCCTCGCTGTGCTTGGACACTTCCAGGATGGACCCCACCCCACAGGCAGGTCCCCAGGTCCTCTCGGCACAGGCTCCCCGACCTCCTTCTGTCCTGGGCATGAGCATGCCTGTGTCTAGAAATATGAGGATCAGCTGGGCCTGGGGGTCGGGCCTGGTCAGCAGCTCTGGGCTTTGCCACTTGGATCAGGGGAAGGGGCCGGGCAGGTCTAGCACCAACCTGTCCATTACCCGGCCCTGCAGGAGGGCGGGGAGGAGATTGAGGCCGTCAATGGCCCTGTCGCTGGGCGGTGTCAGGCCTGCGAGAGCCAGACTGGTGGTGAAGAGGTCCATGATGCTGCCCAGCTGGTGGCTTACCTAAAACAGACATGGCAGCAGCATGCTCAGGGCACTATGCCCCGACCTGAGGGGCCGGGAGCCAATCCCCAGGATGGCGAGGGCCCCACTGCCCAGGTGGGTCTATAGTCAGGCGCATGCGCTCACATGCCACACGCTCACATACCACATGCTGTGCACTCACACACCACACGCCACGTGTTCACATGCTATGTGCCACACACGTGGCCACACGCTCACGCACACCACACAAGCCACATGCCATGTGCTCATGTGCCACACGCCACACGCTCATGCACCACACGCCACACACTCACAAGCCACATGCCATGTGCTCATGTGCCACATGGCACACACTCACGCGCCACATGCCACGTGCTCACGGCAGGGACTGAGCAGAGTCACAAGGCCTGTGAATGGCAGGGGAGCCTCAAACCAGGCCTGACGGGGCAACTCCCCTCACCTTTCTCAGGCATGCCACTGAGCACAGCTACAGTGGCTCCCAGCCTGCAGAGCAGAGCTCTAGCCCCAGCCTGGCCTGGTGGGTGTTCGCTGCAGTAGGAAACCTCATGTCTCCCAGACCTACGCAGGCCCTGAGTCCCACATCATAGTCACGGCGTACGTGTCTCCGAGAACTCCACAGGCCCTGAGTCCCACATCATCGTCACAGCGTCCGTGTCTCCCAGAACTCCACAGGCCCCGAGTCCCACATCATCGTCACGGCATCCGTGTCTCCCAGAACTCCTCAGGCCCTGAGTCCCACATCATCGTCATGGCGTCCGTGTCTCCCAGAACTCCTCAGGCCCTGAGTCCCACATCATCGTCGCGACAGCCACTGAATGATGACGGGCCATTCCTGCAGGTACCCCCACACAAGGCCAGATGCCCATCCCTGACCTCGGGGTGAAGGTGCTCAGGGGAGCGGAGGGGGTGGGCAGCTGCAGCCTGTCCTAGGTACACCCCACACCACGCAGAGCCTGTGCCTGCCACCCCTTCTGCACAAGGCAGTCATTGCCATGGCTGCTCTGCTTTTCAAAGGTAGCCGCAGCTGCCTGTTCCATGAACCATGGGGGTCCTTCCACCCTAAGGGTCCTGGAAGCTGGGATGGCCCAGGAGCCCCATGTCAGACAGAGACTGCCCTAGGCAGAGGGTCTGAGGAGGCAGCCCCGTCAGCTGCAGAGACCAGCTGCCCCTGGCAGATGCCACCTCCCAGTCCCACTGGCTACTGGCTGCTGGGGACCCAGGGGACTGCCCAGGCATGGTGGGCAGGAGGGCAGGCTCAACGGCCAGACATTTGGTGACTGCTCCCACCTCTGTCCCTAGTAACTGGGAGGCCCTGGCAAGCGCCTGCTTCTCTGGGTCTCAGTGTCCTGATGTGTGGAACGAGTGGAGAAGAGGAGGCTCTGGCAGAACAGCAGCCAATCCCTGCGCCTGCAGACGCGTGACCAACCCAGACAGTTAAAGTGGCCAACACAACGCAGGCTGCTCATCAGCCTCGAAGCAGGGAGGCCAGCGTGGGGGAAGTGGGGGGCGGGTGGGATACGGCCACAGGGTCCTTAAAAGTGGAACTGGCTGGGTGTGGTGGCTCAAGCCTGTAATCCCAGCACTTTGGGATTTGAGACGGCCCTGGCCAACACAGCGAAACCTCGTCTCTACTAAAAACACAAAAATTAGCCGGGCGTGGTGACATGTGGCTGTAGTCCCAGCTACTTGGGAGACTGACGCAGAATTGCTTGAACCCAGGAGGTAGAGGTTGCAGGGAGCTGAGATGGTGCCACTGCACTCCAGCCCAGGCAACAGAGTGAGACTCCATCTCAAAAAAAAAAGAAGAAGTGGAACAGGAAGGCCAGGAACAGATGCATACTGCTGGCTTCGAAGGTGGAAGGGCCAGGAGCTTAGGAATGGGTGGTCCTTGGGATTTGGAAAAGGCAAGGAACAGACTCTCCTGGAGCTTCCAGAAGGACCTGGCCCCGCACACGTCGTCACTCAGCCCCACAAGCCCCAGGTCGATCCCAGCTGTTGTCCTGTGTGATGTCCCAGTTGCCTCCGGAGGCATCGGGAGGGCAACAGACTGACTCAGAAACAGTGCTCGCTTACACAACTCAGACTCAGTGCCCCGTGTGTCTAAGGGCGTGTCTGGATCAAGTGCCTCAGTTAGAGACGACTGCATTGTGATTCTTGGCTAAGGGGCAGCTTCCGGGGCCAGAGGAAACACAGCACACAGCATGAAGGTGGCCAGCCTGAGATGCCAGGATGCACCCTCATCCAGCCAGAGCCCAGGTCACCACCAGGGTCTCCAGCCTAAAAGCCACCGTGGTCTCCAACCAACAGAGCCCGGGGCACCACCGTGGTCAGACTGAGCATGGGGTGTGTGGGGTGGAGGGTGGTGAGGATGAGCCTGGGAGGGTGTGGGGTGGAGGGTGGTGAGGATGAGCACGGGGCTGCTTGGGGAGGTGGGCAGTGAGGGGCTCGCACCCCAGGATGACCGCAGGCCTGGACCTGCCACCCAGCAGACAGGCTGACACTGACTCACCTGGCCTGGGGTGATGTGACCTGGCCACCAGGCGAGGGCAGGCTCCCTCATTCCTCCTTCAAACGTGGTCTGCTTCCCACACAGAAAGGGGCTGTTGCTGCCACCTGAGAGAGGGGCTGCAAGTCATGCCACTGGGACCTGACCTTGCCAAGCCCTCCTCCTCCCTCCCCAGGTAACACTGAGTCACTGAGACTCAGTGGGGACAAAGGGCACTCTGGCTCCAGTGCAAAATCTGAGCCTTGGCTGGTTGTGGTGGCTCACACTTGTAATCCCATCACTTTGGGAGGCCAAGGTTGGCAGATCATGAGGTCAGGAGATCGAGGCCATCCTGGCCAACAAGGTGAAACCCATCTCTACTAAAAATACAAAAGATTAGCGGGGTGTGGTGGTGCACGCCTGTAATGCTGGCTACTGGGGAGGTTGAAGCAGAAGAACGGCTTGAACCTGGGAGGTGGAGGCTGCAGTGAGGTGACATTGTGCCACTGCCTGGTGCTGCAGCTGCAAAGTCTCCTGGAGAAAGTGGGACGTCACGCCCAGGGACGAAACGGAAGTGCAAGCCTGTCGTCAGCAGGACTCAGAAACACACTCCCACACCAGAGCCCCGGGCTCCGGTGCCTGTGTTTGGGGTGTTCTGCCTAAAATGCAGGCAACTCCTGCCCCCAATGGTTCTGACTCAGTCGATCAGGGTGGGGTGCAGGAATGTGTGTTTCTGACAAGTCCCCAAGACTGGATTTTGGTCCCTAAACTATCACTTGTGGGAAGTGGTCACAGGACAAAGGCCCCAGCCCTGGTGACCACACCATCCCCAGCTCACTCCCAGACAGAGGAAGGGGTTGGGGGGCCCAAGTCAGAGGGACGAAAATCACCCTGCTGCATAGCCTGAGCCACCTGAGGCTCTCGCCTTTGAGTCCCCAGAAAAAAAGGGGAGAAAGAAATGAAGGGGCCACCTGCAGCAGCTCACACCCGCAATCCCAGTACCCTGGGAGGCCAAAGCAGGTGGATGGCTTGAACTTGGGAGTTCGAAACTAGCCTGGGCTGGTCTACTAAAGGAGACCATGACTAAATCCCATCTCTGCAAAAAATACAAAAATTAGCTGGGTGTGGCGGCACACCCTGTAGTCCCCACTATTCATGAGGCTGAGGTGGCAGGATCGCTTGAGCCCAGGAGGTCAAGGTTGCTGTGCACTGAAATCACGCTACTGCACTCCAGCCCAGGCAACAGAGCAAGATCTTGCCTCCAAAAAAGGAAACAAAGTGAACCACCCAGGATGGCTAAGTCACTGCAGCTCCTTTCTGCGTCACCATCCAACCCCCGTCCGAGTGGCAGCGTGGGAAGACTCTGGACGGAGCCTCGAGGGCAGCTCTGTGTCCCTCATGGGCGAACATGCCCAGAACCTGGCCTGGCTCAGGGAGGGTCCTGCTTGCAGCGGCAGAGCCACAGAACCCATCAGGGGACAGAGGACACTCACCTGGGGACAGTGGCCACTTCTGGGGGACACCCAGGGATCACGGGAGGCTGTGCTGTGTTCCTCCCCCACCACCAAACTTACTTTCTCTCAGATGTCCTGTTTCTAGTCTTAAGCTGGGTGCTAGGTATGTGGGTTCTCATCTTACTACAAATCGGTACACAGGCCGTTTCTGTGTTTTTGTTTTTTTTTTTTTTTTGAGACTTAAGTTTCACTCTTTTTGCCCAAGCTGGAGTGCAATGGCACAATCTTGGCTCACTGTAACCTCCATCTCCCGGGTTCAAGTGATTCTCCTGCCTCAGCCTCCCGAGTAGCTGGGATCACAGGCATGCGCCACCATGCCCGGCTAATTTTTTTATTTTTAGTAGAGACAGGGTTTCTCCATGTCGGTCAGGCTGGTCTTGAACTCCTGACCTCAAGTGATCTGTCTGCCTCGGCCTCCCAAAGTGCTGGGATTACAGGCATGAGCCACTGTGCCTGGTCTGTATGAAATATTCCATCATTTAGAAACGAAGACTCAGGTTGCTGGAGCCCTCGACACTGCTGGCTGGTGGTTGTGGGTGCTGGTGACGAGGTGGGATGCCCCCAGGCTCCCCATGGGGAATGACAGCCTCTCTCCCCCCTGCCAGTACCCTCCCTGACACCCACCACCCTCCCTCCTGGGAGCTGCCTGCAGCCCACGGGAGCCTCGACCTGTGGGTCTGGCTCCAGTGGGTGGGAGATGGAGCTGTCCAGAGGGTCTGCGTGAGAGCCAAGCTCGTCCAGGGGAGCTGTCAGGTGGGACGTGGCACGAGGGAGCCCCTGGCTGGCCAACCGCCTGGGCGCTGCTCTGGAGCCAACAAGCTTCTGTCTTGGCTTTCAGCTGTGCTGGTTTCTGTCACCTGAAACCCTGAAGCCCTCTTTCCCCGAAGGACACTGGGCTGCAGGGGCCCCCGTCATGGTCTGGGAAGAGGTGAGTTCAGGTTGGCGCTGGGAATGGGTCAGGCGTTCCTCAGGACCGAGTGGGAGAAAGGCTGAGGTGTTCCATCCCGGGAACGGCTCGACGGGGCCTTGGTGGGGGCAGGAGCCATCTTCATGGCTTAGGCTCTGGCCCCTGGGTGACCAGGCCCAGGCCAAACTCGCAGAGCTGCTCTGGGTCTTGGGTGCCTGCCCCCATCTCTGCAGGGACATCCCGCTCCATTGGCCCTGCTTTTCCACCCAGGCTCCAAAGCCTCTAGTCTCCGGGGTCACCCCTTGGGAGGTGTCAGCCTCTTCCAAGACAAACTTTCTTCTGTGTCACCTCCTCCCCACCCCCAAGTCCAAAGCCACTCCTGCTTCCAGGTTAGTCCTGAGCCAGAAGGGCCACTGGCCTTGCTCAAGGCTCGGTGACATCTGCTCCTCACATTGGACCTGGACGGACCTTCAAGCTCCGCCCACTACAGACCCTGCGGCGCAGCCAGTCCGGGCGTTCTTAGCGACGTGGTGGCTGCGAAGACACCATGGGCTCACCTTGCTCAGGAGCAGAAATGAGGGCGGCGCCATTGTCCGACGTGAAGAAGACGAAGGTGCTGTCCGCGACGCGCAGGTCCTGTAGGAGCTGAAGCATCTTCCCAATGCTGTCATCCATCTCCCGGACGGCGTCTCCGTACCTGGGGGGATGGTGACAGATGGATCCAGCGGCCAGCAGCACACTGTGATTCACTGAGTACCTTAAATCACAGCGTCACAGACGACAGTGAAACTGCCTGCCCCTTCCCAGAACAAGAGGAAAGGCCTGAGTTCAAGATCACGTGGCTCATGAAGGACAAAGCCGGACGCCCACCACAGCCCTCCTCCGCTGAGCCCGGGCCAGCAGATGGCTTCAAAGGGGCAGGCTGCTCTGGCCCTTCCACGGTTGGAAATAAACGCCATGGTACTGAGCGCCCCGTCTCTGCAGGTGTCAGGCACAGCTGGGGCCTCCAGTCTGAGCTCCTTGGAGTCGGGACTCACCGCCCTCGCCGACTGGTGCCCAGGAAGGGTTTGGAGGCGTAGACGGGCGCGTGCGTGGCGTCCACAGCCCAGTAGAGGAAGAAGGGGCGGCGCCGCGCCTGTCTCTTAATGAAGTCCAGGGCTTCCTGTGGAGAGAGCCGCACCGTCCTCCTCCGGCCTGAGGCCACCTCCCGCCTCCCACAGAGCACGGCTGGTGAGTCCTGTCACCTGCAGGTAGATCTGGGTAAGGTTGGCTTCCCCGGTCTTCAGGTTAATAGGAAATTCTTCATAATATCTGAAGAGAATACAGATCCAGACAGACCTCAGAACTTAGGCCAAGGAAGTCCCCTTCTCCCTGACTTCACCAGCAAAGGCTGGGGTCGGGCACGATGGCTCACACCTGTAATCTCAGCACTTTGGGAGGCTGAGAAGGGCGGATGATGAGGCCAGGAGTTTGAGCCCAGCTTGGCCAACATGTTGAAACCCCATCTCTACTAAAAATACAAAAACTAGCTGGGTGTGGTGGTGCACGCCTGTAGTGTCAGCTACTTGGGAGGCTGAGGCAGGAGAATTGCTTGAACCTGAAGGTGGAGGTTGCAGTGAACCAAGATCCTGCCACTGCACTACAGCCTGGGTGGCAGTGTGAGGCTCTGTCTCAAAAAATAAAAAGAAGAGTCAAGTTAAGCCAAACAAAATTCACAGAAGATGAGGGTCCCTGACCCGAGCACTGCCCCGTCAGAGGTGTTGCCCCACACCCAGGCACCAGGATGGCTCTGTCCGGACAGTGGCTTGCTCCTGGTGTGGCTCACAGTGGGGGTTTCATTCCCACCTCCCGTCCTGCCTGTATCCCTGGACGTCCAGAGCACAGCCGGCCTCCCCACCCGTGGACCACATGGGCACAACCCCGGCAGTGAGTGCAGATGGCGTGGGCTCACTGTGCTGGGGGCCTCCCACTGTCAGGACAGTTAAAGTGATCTACGACTCTGAGACAGCTGGAAGCCGCCCCAGGCGCAAGTCTCACAGACTCTGTGGCAAAACTCTGGGAGAGAAGCCGCCAAAACAAAGCCCTCTATCCCCAGGCCAGCCCAGCCCAGCCCTTGTGAGCAGGCGGCCTGAGGCCACCAGCACCAGGCACACCAGGCACCGCGGTTCAGGGCCCAGGAAGGGAAAGGGTGGAGCAGGGGGCCCTGTTACCTGCCGACCATCTCCCAGTCTCTGTACACAGGGATGTTGGGCCTGGCCTTGTTGTCATAAGGTCCAAAGTGACAGTTGGGGGATCCGAACCACTCATCAAATCCATGCTTCAGCGGGTGGAACTGGGGTCTGTGACCCAGATGCCTAAAAACAGGAACCCAGGACATGTCAGGGATCCCATGTGGGGACACTCCGAGGTTCTGAGCAGCAACGAATCCACCATCTGCACAAAATTCTTGGTAAGACAAGCACCCTCTGGCCCTGAGACAGGCTATATCTGGGCACAGCAAGGACAGGAGACCAAGGCCTCACTCTCAGGAGGGTGCTGGCAGCGCCCGCCTCCCCGGCAGAGTGGCTGGGCACAACCCAGGGTGCCAGGCATGGTGGTGGCTGGGGTTCCCTGCACTGTGAAGGCTGGCACATCCTGAGGAGCCTCCCTGCCCCCTGGAACCCTCCTGATTTGCCACTCTTGGCCCTGGCTCCAGACTCAGGCTCCTTCCACTTTTTGTGAACTCCCAGGAATCCTTCGTGGGTTGTGTCTCAAACACAAGTATTTCTCCTCTGGGTTTTCCAGGGAAGAAAACATCTCCTGCAGATAATTACTGTGTCTCTCCACACCAAGGCAGTCTCTTCTCCCAGCTCAGGGAGACGGCTGCCAGGACGACGGGTAGGCGGGGTGTCGCGTGCCGCTGCGGGAGCCCCAGGGCCTGCCAGCTGCACCCAGGTTCCCAGAGCCCCGGTCAGAAGCAGAGATTGGAATGATGACAAGAGCACGTGGCAGTGTGGTCATGCTGGTGACCGCCACCAACTGCTTTCCTGGGACCAAGGTTCCTTTGCTCAGAATGGCCTTCGGCAGGCATCACATCCCAGGACTGCCGGAACCCTCCAGACCCCGCCCTGCACCCCCCATCTGATGACCCCCACAGACCTCCTGCATCCACCCCACCCACACACGCGCCTTCCCTTTGGGGGCATCTAATCTCGTGTCCTCCGGCCAACAGCAGCCCTGCAGGCTGCACCTCTGTGCCCACTCGCCCCGGCCCCGAGGCCAGCTGTCTGGGTTTCCTTGAGCGGCCTGTCCTGTCCTGGAAGAAGTCCAGCTCACAGCTGCTCTTCAGAACGTGCTGCAGGAGAGCTGGCATGAGGCTGCTTCTAGCGCGCTGTTGAGGCGCGGCCGTGGGCGGCTCCCCCGTCATTCGTGTGTCGTCAGGAAGGTCTTCTGCAGCTATAGCCTGGAAAGCATCATCTCGAATGGAGATGTCTAAGCTGCACGTGGGCTGCCTGGTGGAGGGCGGCAGGAAGGCCTGAGCCTGGGCGCTCATGGAAGACCCTGCATAGTCACACGGGTCTCAGGTCACTGTGCACCCACTCTGTCTCTGGCTGGGGAGGATCAGAGGTGACCTTGAAGGAAGGCTGGGCTGGAAGAAGGTGGAGGCTGGACAGAGCCCAGTCTGGGCCTTGGTTTCCCTGCTTGTGAAGGAGGAGGCAGGCACGGCTGTGGCTGAGGCCCTGGCTGAATCTGTGCCAGAGGCCTCCCTGGACACGTACTCTGCCACGAGCTGCTGCTCCGTCTCCTCTCTCAGGGGAAGCCACCTGCACCTCTCCGTGACCTCAGAGCTCCTTTGGCTGCCAACTTAGGGCTGTTTCCTTCGTGTCGTCAGCACTTGGGCTCACTGCTAGAGCCCCCCATCATCCCTGAACACCCCAGGCAGGTCACCAGCCAGCCACAGCAGATTTGTGTGTCCATGTCCACCAGCACAAAGGCCTTACTTAGGGGAAACACACAAGCAGGACCCTACACAGACTATGCTGTGGGCTCCACACGCTTGTTCCGAAGCAGCAGTGAGGGCCGGCCCTCACCAGCAGGTGAGCTGGAGCAGGGAGCATCCACACCGCTCTGGAACTCGAGCGTCTGCACTGTGCACCCACGTAGTTTCAGGCAGATCAAGCAGCTTCTATTCGAGGCCAGGTGAGGTGCCGCAGGGAAGTCTGAGTCACAGCTGACAACACTACCACTGCCCTGAGACGGGACCCTGCTGGGATGGGGACCCCCTGAACTGCCTGAGCAGGTGCTGCAGGACCTGGTCTGGCCATCAGGCCACTGCACCCTGCTCTGAGCCCAGGAGGAACCAGGCCTGGGCCACATAGTCACTATAATCTGTCTTGAGCCTAGGAAAAGCCCCCACCCCAGGCCACCCAGCTATTGCACCGTGTTCCAAACCTGGAAGGAACCCACCCTGGGCCACCCAGCCACTGTACCCTGTCCTGAACCTAGAAGGAACCCAGGTCGGGCCACCCAGCCACTGCACTGTTTCCTCAGCCCAGGAGGAGCTGTGGCTCCGGGGCCTGCCTGGCTCCTGCTCCCAGAACTCGGGGTCCCCTGTCTCCTGCTGATGGCTGTTCAGGAGCCTGGAGGCCTCTCTGGAGACCTGCTCCCTTTCCAGCTCTGGTCACAAGCACCAATGAGCAGGCACAGGAGGCCGCTGCGCCAAGACATAGCCTCCCGGCTGGGCAGAGAGCTCCGGCCACTGCGGGGCTTTCACCCAGAGCAGCCACCGGCTCTCCTCCTGTTGGCACAGCCCCGATGCGCCCCAGTGGCCCTCAGGGGCAGACTTCTGCCATGGCCCTTGGCACTGGCTGCGGACTGTTCAGGCCTCATGGGGCCCTCCCTCCCTGTGTGTGGACTCTGCGGCTGCTGTGCCCGTCAGCTCCACCCTGTGCTTTCTGAGCGCTCAGCCCCCCAGGCTGCTTCCTCTCGTCTGAAGTGTGACAAAGCGCTCTCTAGGCAGCCTCTGGGTCCTCCTCATCTCTCAGTCTCAGCAAATTCCAGCTGCTGTGACCATCTACATCCAAGGAGCAGCCATCGAAGGGGGCCGGCAGGAGCTGCAGGCAGCAGACAGGCAGCACAGAGGTGGAAAAACAGGTGGGCTTCCTGGAGGAGGGGCACGCAGGCCTGACAGGCGGGGAACGCTTCAACAGATGGAGAGAAACGCAGGACACGTGACTTGGACCCAACCCTCCAGGCTCACTGGGGCGTCCCAGGGAGCAGAAGAAATGAAATGTCCCGTGTGCCTGAAACAGCGGCAGGATTTCATCAACTGCTGGGCAGTTCCTCTCCTTCCTGGTGGCTTCTCTAGTTTAGAGCAGAGTGTTCACCATCAAACAGGTCCCTGCGGTGGACAGCCACCTCCCGCGCCATGGCTCCTGTCTGTAATGACATGGTCCCTCTAGAGACAACGTGGCAGGAGGCAGCCGGGGGCAGTGGCAGTGAGCGGTGGGGGCCGTGACTCAAGGGCGAATAGTAACAGGCCTGTGGAGTCTGATGCTTCCAGGTGCTCACAGCTGCAGGCCTGGCCTGGTGACCTGAGACCCTGCTGGGATGCTGGCAACACTGGAATACCCCCGAATTCAGCTTCCGTTCCCACCCAAGAAGCCTTCCTGGTGTGGAAACTTGCAGCCACATCCCTTGTGACCAAGGCCAGAGAGTGGGTGGTGCAGGACGCCTGGGCGGGCACGGCTGGAGACTCACCACTTGCCGACGATCTTGGTGACATAGCCGGCCTCCTTCAGAAGCTCCGGCAGGAGCTGCTCTGAGTCTGGAATACCACCCACGATCTCCTGCGGTGTGTAGGCTAGAAGAGCAGCACTGACTGAGCCCTGGGTAGACCCCGAGAAGCTACCACCCACCTCATCCTGACAGGACCCTGGCCCCTCAGGGTGAAAGGCTATGGCTGGGGCCGCACATTCACAGGGCTTAGCGCTTCCCAGGACGTTTCCAGGCACCCTTCAGAGTCAGTGCCATGATCAGGGGCAGGGGGGATAGGGGTGGACTCTGGCCCAGCCTCAGGCCCCACCCTGCCTCTCAGGCCAGCCTCCCTCCCACCTGGTCTCCAGGGACTCTGGAACATAACCAGGTGAGGCTGTACTGCCTCACCCATGCGTCCCCTGTCCTTCCCTTTCCTCAAAGACCGCTGGAAGTCCCACTTCCCCTGTGAGATGTCCCTAGGGATCCCATCCAAACCCCTTGAGCACAGCGATTCCAGAGCATTCCAGAACTGCCACTGACGCCCCAGCCCCAGCCTCCTTATGGGCGTTCAGCTCACCCTCTGGGGAGCAGGGAGCTTCTGGGGTGACGGTGCAGACCCAGCTCCTTAGGCTGAACTGGGCACCCTCCGCTCCGTCCTCACTGGGCCAGGGCAGGGAAGGAAACCAGCCAAGGTGAGCCTATACTTCCCCCCGACTCCCGGAGGCCCCGGCACCACCTGCACCCTGCCTGCTGCTGGCTGGCATGAATGTCCCTGATGGAGGTGCGGCCATCTGCTTAAAGGTGCCTGTCACAGCAGATATGAAGTGTAGCTCCCCCTCTAGCAGGTACTGCTCCACAGAACCCAGGCCACGAAGGAGGGCGGGCAGGAGACACTGGCCCAACCCTGCACCCTAAGTTCAGCCCTGGAGGCAGCGGGGGGCAGCCTACCGTTTCTGGCGTGGGCGTTGGTGGTGTAGAAGCCGTTGCGAATGGGCAGCCGTCCCTGTGAGCAGTGCTGCCCTGGCTACGTGCAGATGACAGAAACAGAAACCAAAGAGAAGTGTAACGCTCAGACCCACACGCTCATCAGCAAGAGCCCCGCCGGGTAGACAGATGCGTGGCTGATGAGGCAAGTGCAGGTGACGAGGGGCCGTCCCAGGTCTCCACCACCCAGGGGGCATAGCACCCACTGTACTGAAATGGGTGCTGTGGCTCAGCGTCATCCCCAAGGCCCCGCCTGCTCTCCCAGGCTCCCGGGATCCGCAGTGGGCATGCAGGTCCGCATGGCCCTGCCCATGTGCTGACCCCTGGGACACCCGCTGGGCGTGTGGGTCCACATCCCCCATCCTTGAGCACTGTCCCCATGCCCTGCTTTCCCCTCTTCCTCACGATCAGTACCACGTGTTTCTGTCTCCAGCAGGAGACTCTCCACGGAGGAAGGGAGTGGTACCCCGAGACAGAGCCACGATGCAGCGTCTCTCCCCAGGGAGGCGCAGCACCCAACTCTGTGAACAGAGAGCAGCAGTTGCCAACACCACCGCGACTTTGACCCCGAAAACCTGGTGGGCACTGTAGCCCACGACACAGAGCCAGGCAGGGACCAGTGAGAAAGGCCTGAGCCCACCTGCCGTCCTCCCTGCACCTCCCAGGGGTAGACGAAGTTGATGTGGCTGCCAGAGTCGGGGCTGCAAGAACATGGGAGGCCTTGGCCTGTGGGGCTCAGCCCTCCTCGGGGGTGAGGGCTGCACTGACTTACATGGCGAGCACAGGGGGTTGGCAGAATAGAAGTTCGGGAAAAGCATGCCTTCTGCAGCCATCCGGTCCAAATTTGGGGTCTCTCTGGAGGGCTCTCCATATACCCCGAGGTCGCCCCACCCCATCTGCAGGAAGAGCATGGAGAGGAGGAATGAGCTCCTTCTGCACGTGGCGCTTCTGGCTTAGGGAGCTGCCTGTGGTGCCAAGAGCATGTCAGGACCGTGGGAGCCAGTGCCACCCTATGCCCTCCAGTGGTAGAGCTCGGCTGAACTCCAGCAGCACCTGTGCATGTGCCACGGGGCCGCTACTCTGGACGTCAGTTCCACCTCTGCTTGGTCTTCACGTGGGGAATGCGTCCATCCGCCTGCCTCCTCCCCGCTGACACCGGCTCCTGTGTGCTCCCAGGGAGCCAGGCCCTCAACACGCGCATCTATTTTCATCATCAATACACAAGCCCTCAAATGCCTGTTGTACAGATCTAGATTTCAAAATCGACTGGTCACCATCCCCCAAAACCCAAGCCTAATTATCAAGTGACCCTGCGGTTCCATGCTGCAATTCCACTCCCAGCTACACACCCAAGAGACCGAAACTTAAATCCACACACGGACCTGCATACGTGCGTCCAGGGCAGCGTGACTTAGTGGCCAACAGGCAGGAGCACCAAAGCGCCCATGAGCGGACAACAAAGTGCGGCCTGTGCGTGATACACAAGTGTGGCCGCGGTTAGAAGTAGGGTGTTTGCAGGTGTCGTGGGCTAAGATGAGGCCACGCTGGGCCAGGGTGGGCCTCAATCCTATCACCGGCCCTTATGAGCACGGGGAGTTACAGACGCAGACGTGCAGCAGCGAGGCTGCGGGAAGGCCCGGAATGAGGCTGGAGTGGTGCAGCCACCATCCAGGGGACAGCAAGGGCCCGCCCCGAGAACCCCCAGGGGGAGGACCCAGCTGACACCTTGATCAGGACTTCTGGCCTCCAGAACCCAGCAAGAATACTTCTGTCTCAGGCCACCAGGCCTGTGGTAATGCGTAACGTCTCGGGAAACTCAGCCTTGTACCCGGCACGCTACCCAGCCATCAAAAGGAACAGCGCGCTGATACTCCACACCGTGCAGGGCCCTGGGAAGCTTCACATGAGGAAAGGAGCAGGCACGAGGGCCACACAGTCTGATTCGCTCATGGGAAGCACCTGGAACAGGCCAGTCCACAGAGCATGCGGTGGCCGAGTGGCTGCCGGGGCTGGGGGTGGGTGCAGAGGGAGTGCCTGCTGGTGGGTACAGGTTTCTTCTTGGGATAGAATGTTTTGGAATTAGGAACCAGTGATGGTCACACAACACTGTAAATAACTGCCTGAGTGGTGCACTTGAAGGCAGCTGTAATGGTCAATTTTACATTCTGTGTATTTTCCAAAAAACCTCAAGCAAGAGGATGGGTGAGCACAGGGCAGGGAGCATGGTGGCCAGGGTGACACTAGGTGTGACGGTGCCAGCACAGCAAATGTCCACGGCAGACCCCTCGGAGGGGCAGGGCCGGGCTTCCTGCAAGATTCTTTAAACTTTGCTATGTGTACTGTTGAAAAAAGTACTTTTTTTTTTTTTTTTTTGAGACTGAGTTTCACTCTTGTTACCCAGGCTGGAGTGCAATGGTGCGATCTCGGCTCACCGCAACCTCCGCCTCCTGGGTTCAGGCAATTCTCCTGTCTCAGCCTCCTGAGTAGCTGGGATTTCAGGCACATGCCACCATGCCCAGCTAATTTTTTGTATTTTTCGTAGAGACGGGGTTTCACAATGTTGACCAGGATGGTCTCGATCTCTTGACCTTGTGATCCACCCACCTCGGCCTCCCAAAGTGCTGGGATTACAGGCTTGAGCCACCGCGTCCGGCGAAAAAAGTACTTTTAAACAGACAGTGGGCCAGGACTTTGCTTTAGAACAAAGTGGGGCATCTGCCCTGGCAGCCCAGCACTGCCTGGGGCTTTCGCTCTCCTCAGATCCTCCAGCCAGGATGAGGTACCCCACAGCATCTCCCTCAGCGCCCACCTCAGCAGGAGCCTGGTGGCAGTCAATGCCTCTCTGTCCCTCCACCCCCCCACCCCTCACCCTTCCACCCCCAACTCCCTACACCCCCGCCTCCCTACCCCTCCGCCCCTTCACACCCTCTGCCCCTTTGCCCTTCCGCCCCTCCGCCCCTCTGCCCTGCCTGTCTTCCCTCTCTAGGGACATATTCCCTGCTGACTCAGGTGCTCCAAGCACCAACCAAGACATCAGTGCAGTGAAGGTGCCTGCTTGGGGCCCTGCCCACCTTCAGCAGCACAAACACGCAACACCTGGGAAAAACGCCATGTTCCAAATGCAATGACCACTTTGACAGGCCCCACTGAATTCACTGCACTTTTATTTTTGAAATCAATTTGAATGCAAATATAGATGTTCAGAGCTGGCATCAGCAAATGTATTATGTAAAGGGCCTCACAGCAAATCTTTTCAGCTTTATGGGCTGTATGGGGCTGTCACAGCCACTCAGCCCTGGCATGAGGGCAGATGTGCATGCCGTGTGCCAATAAAACTTTATTCATCAACACCTGATTTCATACAATTTTTCTTTTTTTCTTTTTTTTTTTTTGAGATGGAGTTTCGCTCTTGTTACCCAGGCTGGAGTGCAATGGCACTATCTCGGCTCACCGCAACCTCCACCTCCTGGGTTCAGGCAATTCTCCTGCCTCAGCATCCTGAGTAGCTGGGATTACAGGCACACGCCACCATGCCCAGCTAATTTTTTGTATTTTTTAGTAGAGATGGGGTTTCACTATGTTGACCAGGATGATCTCCATCTCTTGACCTCATGATCCACCTGCCTCAGCCTCCCAAAGGGCTGGGATTACAGGCTTGAGCCACCGCGCCCCGCCTCATACAATTTTTCATGTCACGAAATGTTCTTTAAAAAAAAAAAACACACACACACAAAACACTTAAAATTATAAAACCCATTCCTGATTTACGGGTTTAAAAAACAGAAGGTGGTCCACATTCAGTCCACCGGCTGCAGTTTGCCAACCTCTGCTTTAGTGAAAGTGCAGCTACCCTATCTTAAAATGCAATCCTGGGGCTGGGTGCGGTGGCTCACACCTGTAATCCCAGCACTTTGGGAGGCCAAGGAGGGTGAATCGTGAGGTCAGGAGTTCAAGACCAGCCTAGCCAATATGGTGAAACCCCGTCTCTACTAAAAATACAAAAATTAGCCAAGCGACATGGCAGGCACCTGTAGTCCCAGCTACGTGGGAGAATTGCCTCAACATGGGAGGCGGAGGTTGCAGTGAGCTGAGATCCTGCCACTGCACTCTAGTCTGGGTGACAGAGTGAGACTCCGTCTGAAAAAAAACAGCCATCACTAGAAAATTGCTTAAAGCCAGGAGTTCCAGACCAGCCTGGACAACACAGCAAGACACCACCTCTTAAAAAAAAAAAAAAAAAAAAGCCAGGCGTGGTGGTGTGCATCTGCTGTCCCAACTACTCAGGAGGCTGAGGTAGGAGGATCATCTGAGGCCAGGAGACTGAGGCTGCACTGAGCCATGATCACACCACTGGACTCCAGCCTGGGCAACAGGGTGAGACCCTGCTACTTAAAAACAAAAAGTTCATGGCCCAGCAATTCCACCTGCAGGAGTTTATCCTAAGCAAATAATTACAGCTTCGTATAACCCATTAAATACGCAAATTTAAAGCTGCAGTTGGGACACTGGGAACACCAGAGATTTGGTCACACAAACCACAGTTCATCAGTGTTAGCGGGTGGAACTACAGCCCCTGAAGCTGAAATCTTAGCTACAGTGTATCTCTCGGAATGTTACCTTGGTTGGACACAGGGTTGCTGTAGATGTGATCACGTTAAGACGAGGTCATCAACACCGGTGTGGACCCTCATCCTACACTACTGGAGTCCTCACAGGAGATGGGGTGAAGGGCCGTGCAGCAATGGAGTCAGAGGCGGGAGCCACTGCAGCCGTGGGCTTCAGACGGCTGGAGGCCACCAGAGGCTGCAGGGCAAGAGGGCCCTCCCCTGAAGGTGTCCGAGGGAGCCAGGGCCTGCCCAGACCCTGAGCTCGGACTTCTGGTTTCCAGACCAAGAACACATTTCTGTTCTTTTAAGCTCCCTAGTCTCCGTGTGTGGTTCCAGGAGACTCATGGGATGGGGAAGATGAGGGTGTGACCGGGGGTTCCTGACACGCTCACTTGATGTGAAAAAACATTCACAACACCTGGTTATGTGGACACCCTGCGAACATGCCTGTGGACACACCTGGATGACAGGGAGGGAAAGCTCGTAGCAAACCAAGCCGTGTCTGCATTTTAGGTCTGGGAGCCGAAGCCTTCCAGAGGAAGCAAAACAGCTCCACCCACAGCTCTGAAGCAACGAGAGACCACACCTATGGCTCTTTCTTCAAATCTCTAAAATACTTTTCTCTTTCGGTGACCAGTGTGGGCAACAAAGTGAGACCCCATCTCCATAAAAAAAATTAAAAAATTAGCCGGGAGTGGTGGCATGTACCTGTAATCCCAGCTACTTGGGAGGCCAAGGCAGGAGCATCCCCTGAGCTCAGGAGGTGGAGGTTATGGTGAGCTGAGATTGCACCACTGCACTCCAGCCTAGGTGACAGAGTGAGACTCCATCTTAAAAAAAAAAAACCCACTAACAAAAACCTGCCACTTTTCTTCCAACTCACCCCCCCCAGCCTCCTGTCCTGAGTGGCCCCAGGACTCATCCGCAGAGCAGGACCGCTGCCTGCATGGACAGTCAGGGACCCCAAGAAGGGCTGCGCCTGGAGGCCGAGGGAGCCCACCTGCCCGTCAGCCCTTTGTAAAGTCTGCACCATTTCAAATGACCGCAAGACAGGATCCCTGGGCTCCAGTGTTCAAAGGGCTTGGAGAAGGACTCTGGTGCCTCCATAATTCACCACAGCAGAGGCCAGAGTCTGATCACTGACTGTCTAAGGCTGATTTTTACAAAACAAAACATTAAAAATGAACTCAGGCCTGGCGCAGTGGCTCACACCTGTAATCTTAGCACTTTGGGAGGCCGAGGTGGGTGGATCATCTGAGGTCAGGAGTTTAAGACCAGCCTGGCCATCA